AACTCGTCTGAACGTTCACTTATTGTGTCACTTTTCACTTCACACAGTCAAGATATTAACAAGTAATGAGAAATAACTTGGTAAAAGTTTCCTCATAACCTTGTGTATGAGAGATGTGGGAAAAGCTTAATTCACTTTAAGCTCACTCCTACAGAAGATGAGAGCAAAGCTCACGTTTGACGCTGAGTGCAGCGTTGGCAAAGCTGCGGCCGGTGGAGCTGATGGCCACACAGCGGTATTGACCCTGGTTTCCAGGTCGAACATTGGCAACCGTGAGCACAGATCCATCAGGACCAACCTTCACGTTGTCTGGAAGGAAACAAAACACTCCAGTGAACGCACATTAGTTAAATTAGACACAAACAATGTTTCAGTGTCATTACTCCTCACCCAGGAATGGTTGRTTATTGGCTTTCTTCCATTCCAGCCGGACTGGTTGCACGCTGCCCCCCACCTGGCATCTGAAGCTGACGGACTCTCCTTGGCGCACAGCAGCAGACTGAGGCTCCACAGAGACAACTGGAGGCTCAGCAGCCACTGCAAGGACACGCCACATGCACAAGTTACAGACCAACGTGAACCTTTACAGAGATCCACATGAAACACATTGTAGGATAAGCCCCAAAGTTTGCACTTGAAATAAAATGCCCAAATCAATTGCATTATATATATATAAACCTTTTAAAAATATCATGAATAAGGCTAAAAAGACTCATGAAAACTTTAAACACAATTATAGAAAAGTAGAACAAAAAAGCCAAACTCTTCCCCCAGTAATGGGGGTGTGGGGCTGAAAAGGTTTTAAAATGACCTACATATTATACAAGATTCTGTTAATAACACATAGATGATAAAAGCCAATTAAAACTGCTTTTAAATAAAGATGGTCCTTGTTTTGTTATTTGTCTTTAACAACTCAGGTTACACGCTAAAATAGAGTGCAGAATGAAAGTGATGTAGAGCAGTCGTCGCCAAATATTTAATTTACAAAACACACAAAAAAGAGTAGCAGGACCCTGATCCTTTTTAGGTTGAACACAAATTCTGCTAATAGGCCAATTAAATAAGAGCATAATCAAAATACTGACAGTCATTCATTTTAACGCATTTATAAATTGAAAAATTATGACAAAAATACTATTAATCATTTTTAAATTTATTTTTGTTCTGGAAATCATCTGTAAATTGTTTTAATTGGACTTTTTGTTCAGCTGGTGCAGTTCTGAGTCTGTTCAAATCAACAGCTTACTGACAAATTATTTACAGTTTAAACGAAATCAGCCATTACCTGAACATATTAGGAAGCAGAAGGTCAGAGCCSCAGGAGATAAATCCATGATGAACAGACTGTGTGAGCTGTGCTTCGTCTCTTTCTGTCTTTCTCTGTTTCTTATCAGCTTTAGCCTTTGACCTTTTGACTGTCCTGAACCTAAACTCAAATATAGTCTGCGTGTGGCAGTCACGTTTGAAGGAAAGTTATGGGGTTCATTTCGGGTGGTCAAATTAATTTGCTTCATTGCATTCATGTCATTATTCCAAAATATGTTAAAATAAACATTTGAAAATAAAAACATTTACATAAACAAACTTTGAACTATATAATGCCATTGTTCAGTGACAAAGAAAAAAAGAGCTGTTTGATAGTAGAGCATACATACAATTTAATGCTTAACTAATTATACTTCACATTTCTTTAACAACTGTATAGACATACAGTATTTTTGTAAATATAAACACAAATTGCTCATCATAATCTATAGGTGTATGTGTTTTTTTAATTAGATATTGATTTAGGATCACATTTTCTTTATGAAACAAATTAAGACATGAGTTTTATTCAACATGTCTGTTTTTTTACGTTCATTATTAAAGAACAGCAAAGTATTTTCAACAAGAGACAGACAAGCAGAAAAAAGATGTAAAACATTCAAATGTGTGATTTGACTGAAAACAAGTTTTACCTGATCAACAAGATGCAGTGTGGTGGACTAACACCAGAGAGCACCAAAAACCATTAAAACTTGTACTTTTGTATATACACTCACCAGTCACTTTATTAGGTACACCACGCTAGTAACGGGTTGGACCCCCTTTTGCCTTTAGAAC